AAGAAATTTCAATGTTAACCATTAAGAAGTAAATTAAAACTAAAAGTCAGGACAGCTGAAGTAAAAACACCCAAGGTTGGGAAGATTGCTCAACAGTAAAGTGCTTATTGCTCAAAGACCTGGGCTTAGATTCCCACCATCCACGTAAAAAGCTAGGCATGGTAGCATGTCCCGTCATCCTAGCTGGGAGACAGGAGGATCCCAGGGTGTGCCTCGCCAACCATTCCAGTGGAATCAGAGCTCCAGAATAAACAAGAAACTCTGTCTCAGTAAGGTGGAGAGTGGTGGAGAACACCCAACATTGATGTCTGGCCTCCTCAGGTACACTGTCCCTCACAAAACCACTTTTAAGATAAAAGAAGAACTAGAATATCAGTGGAACTAAAGCTTACAGGGTGGCCTCTTAGTCACTGACATCCAGTTACATTTGCTAAAGTAAAAGTCACGTGGTTTAGAATCATGAGATTCTAAAGGTGCGTGCCTTTAATCCCAGCACTTGGAAGTCAGAGGCAGACACATCTCTGTGAGTTCAAGGCCAGCCTGGGCTACAAGTAGAGTTCTAGGACAGACAGGGCTGTACAGAGAGACTTTGTCTAGAAAAAAAAAAAAGAAAGAAATACTGTGTTAACATTAGATAAAAATCATTTCAGATATCTCTGGGAGAGGAAGGAGGAAGAGGGGAGAGGAGGAGAGAACCGGAGAGAACTTTGTAAAAATAGGATTACGGCAATTGTTTTAATTCAGTTTAATTTTGCTTGCATTTGACTGTAACAAAACCAAAAATGGGGGCTGGCAAGATGGCTCAGTCTATTCATCCGAGCTCAGCCCTTAGGAACTACATAGTCAGTGGAGAGAACTGGCTTCTACAAGCTCTCCTTTAACTTCTCTATGTGCACAATGGCATGCGTAACCACTGCCCCCCAAAATCAGTAAAATAAATGCAATTAATTTTGGTTATATTTTTTTTTTTGAGACAGGGTTTCTCTGTAGCTTTGAGGCCTGTCCTGGAACTAGCTCTTGTAGACCAGGCTGGCTTCAAACTCAAAGAGATCTGCTCACCTCTGCCTCCTGAGTGCTGGAATTAAAGGAGTGAGCCACCACCTCCCGCCTGCAATTAATTTTTTAAAAGAACAAAATTATGGTAAGCAGGAGGCTGGAGAGATGGCTCAGAGGTTAAGAGCACTGGCTGCTCTTCCTGAGGTCCTGAGTTCAATTCCCAGCAACCACATGGTGGCTCACAACCATCAGAAATGAGATCTGGCGCCCTCTTCTGGAGTACAAGCATACATGCAGGCAGAATACAGTATATTTAATAAATAAATTATGGTAAGCTTCAGATAAATGCTTCATTACCATAACAATACTAGGGTTTTTTTATTGTTTTGTTTTTGAGATAGGGCCTCTCCTTGTAGGCTTAGCTGGCTTGGTACTTGCTGTGTAGACAAGGCTGGTCTTGAACTCACAGAGATCAGTCTGCCCTGCCTCTGGAGTGCTGGGATTAAAGTCATGCTCCTTCGTGCCTGACCCACTGTTAGTTCTTAGAAGGTTCTTGTAAAGTTTAAGAAGAAACAACATTAATAAATGCTAATTGTTGTGAAAAAGGAATTCAATTTTAAGCCCCAGTTGTCTCCCCTCTGAGAAAATACAGAAGTAGGCATTTGGAGACTTTCCTCCCCGGCTTAGCTGTATTTCCCTTCTCAAAGTACTAAAGGCTGCCAGGCTGGATGGCTGATTTTCTATGACTCGAGTGGTAATTAGAGACAGAGAAGATCCATGGGAACCAGTTACCTAAAATGTCACACAAAGACAAAAATCTACTGAAGACAAGACAGAAGGAGAGGATCTGGTACATCTAATGTCCATCAGGAGATTCTGAGAAGGAAAGAAAAACTGGGAAGGGATCTGATGGATTAAATGTTCGTGTGTCCCCTACCCCCAGTTCATACATTGAAATCGCAGCCCCTAGTTTATTGGTGTTTGGAGAAAGGTCTCTGGTAGATAATTAGGTCATTAGAATAGAGCTAACCTCGTGCACAAGAATAAAGTTATATGAGAGACTCCAGCACACTGTCTGGTCCTCCCTCTTAGGAGTCAATGAGAAGCTGGTAGTCTGCTGCCCATAAGTTGCTGTCTCCAGCCAGGCGGTGGTGGTGTGCGCCTTTAATCCCAGGACTTGGGAGGCAGAGACAAGCAGATCTCCGTGTGTTCAAGGCAAGTCTGGTCTACAGAGCAAGTTCCAGAATAGGCTACAAAGCTACAGAGAAACCCTGTCTCATTAAAAAAAAAAAAGAAAAAAAATTGCTGTTTCCAGAACTTGACCACATTGGTTCCCTTAGCTCAGATTTTTACATGCAGAGCTATTGGTAAGAAAATGTCCAAGGGCAGTTGATTATACAGCCCAAACTAAGACAATATCTTTTCCATTCAAAAACATCGTCAAATTTTGCAAAGACATGCGTTCTCAGATTTGGGTTGTACACAGATCTGAAATAAAATTTCCCAGGTTAGGCTGCACCGCTTTAAGTTGCAGATTCCACTATGTAATGATAATTTACAGTCAGGGGAAATGTCCACATTCTCTTCTAGGATGTGTCAAGTGTCACCAAAGAGGGAAGGAGGAAGGACAACTAGAGGTGGGAATGCCCCAAGCATGGCCGGGTTCCTGATCAGTGTGGGTGTGGTGTCCTGGGTAACTTACTGGGTACCTGGGAAATGAGGGTAGAATGGCCCTCTTTGTCCTTGAGTAGCAAAAGCACAGACAAGTAGAATTCTGAACACACCTGGGTCCCAACTCCTTAGACACAGATGAAAGTACCCACTTAGCCATTGGTCCCGTCCCATCCCTCAACTTTCCAAGCTTCCTGACCAGATCACCCTTCTTGACTATTGAGTGGACTTTTGTAGGAGAAAAACAACATTTTTTTTTCAAGTTAAGAGAATCAAATGTATTCCCCTCTTCTATGGCCAAGGGATCCCAGAATGCCAAGGACAGAGACAGGTCTGACTTGGAGAGAGGATACTCTAGCTGATGGTGCGGGCTCTGGTCAGCACACTTGAGGAGCAATCTCTGACTGATTACACATTTTCCTTGCTCTGCGGGAGCACGGTGTGAGGGTTTTGCCCGCTGTGCCTGTATGTCTGGTCTGGGATTTGAGGGTCTAGGTTTCTATACAATTTTCCTACAAGCCCAGCGTTGGTGGCACAAGTCTTTAATCCCAGCACTTGGGAGGCAGAGGCAGGTGAATCTATGTGAGTTCGAGGCCAGCCTGATCTAAGAAGCAAGTTCCAGGACAGACAGACAGACAGACAGGACTGTTTTACAGAGAAACCCTGTCTCAAAAAACCAAAAAAATACATGTACTGGCATGTTTTAAGACTTAAAGGGGGCCCTTCAAATATCTATCTATGTTTCTTTCTTCCTTCCTTTCCTTTTATTTTTCGAGACAGGGTTTCTCTGTAGCTTTGGGCCTGTCCTGGAACTCACTCTGTAGACCAGGTTGGCCTCACAGAGATCTCATAGAGAACTCACAGAGATCTGCCTGCCTCTGCCTCTCAAGTGCTGAGATTAAAGGCGTGGGCCACCACCACAGGCACCTTTTTTTTTTTTTTAATGTGACACTTTATCTTTCATTTTATTGTTTTAGGAAGTAAACAGGCTGGTGGTGGCATGCAGTACTTTAAGATTCCTGTTTTTTGTTTTATTTTATTTTGTTTTGTTTTAAGACAAAGAACCCTTATCCTCCACCAAGAGACGACAAGGCTGAGGAAACAGTTCTTCCAGGGTCTTGGCTTCCCTGTGCACGGCCAGTGCATGGAGCTGTCCAAGGTTTTCCTGTCTTAGCCATACTGTTTCTGACCTTTTTAAGGAGCACACAGGAGGTGGAGGCTGGAAGGAAAGGGCCTTGCCTGTGTCTGGAGTCCTGAGGCCTGGGTTTCAGTCCCAGCCCCAGCGTTCCGCAGGGCATTGATTGGGTTATAAGTCTTTCTTTGCCTCAGTTTCCCGAGTAACACCAGACCTCACTCAGATTGGTGTGAGGAGTTAGTCTGTAAAATTATTTAACACAGTGTCTGGCAAATAGAAAAAAAAATTCTTTTGGTTCCCCCCCCCCCCCATTTCTGCCTCATAAGGATTTTAGACATAGATTGTTTTGATTCTTGTAATTCTGCTCTGGCCTTCGGGAATACTTGGGGTAGGCAGTAAGAGAACGTGGGCAAATTGCTTACAGAACTGAAATTGCACCCCTCGATCTGGCTCGGCCATTAAACCATGTGTGAGACTCTCGCTAAGTTGACTGATTTTTCTGAACTCGGCTTCCTCCTCTATTAAATAAAGCACTTGAACGCCAGGAGTTATCTTCTACGTTCTGTGGCCTCTGAATCAAATTCCCAGATCTACTTTCAATCCAGTCACTTGGCGTCCTTGTCTATAAACTAGAGAAATAGTATTTGATACCTACGACCAGCTAGTGTATCATAGCAAGGAGTAGGCAGGCTACAAGGGGGCCAGGACTAAGCTGCACGGTGAGAACTAGGCCTGGCAAGTGTCAGGGACCCAGGCAGGGGGTAGTAGGACCACTTCTTTCTGCAAAGATTAAGCCCTGCCAGACTCACCTGGAGGAGCTGTCGATCGCGGTCACGCAGTGCTTTGCTGGAAGTCCCTGCTCTGTTGGAAGGATCACAGGGTTGTGTCGCGGTCATTTAGAGGCAAGGAATGAGAAGGCTCGGTCGAGAATGCATAGGAACTGTTCATTCAACAGCAAGGGGTTCCGTTGAGTGGTTTTTCTGCTGCGTCTCCGCTTCCCATCCTCGCTCCAGCAGGGATCCACTGTGCAGCAGGCCCGAAACCCGTCACGGAAAGCCTGCCGTGGGTGTCCCCCCCCCCCCCCCCCCGCAGCACAACTACACACTCCCTCCCTTCCGCTCCTCCCTCCTGGCTGCCATAGAAACCAGCCTGCCAGGACCAGGCCCGCGTCGCGCGTCCTGGTGGCCATCCAGTCTCCTTTCCAGGCTCCCCAAAGCCAGCCCCCTGCTCGGGATTGGTCCCGTTCAGGACGCTGAGGGGCACTGGGCTCTGGTGGCGGAGCCTGGAACAGACAGGCAGCGGGCTTTGCCACGGCCCTGTGGGTCAGATCTGCTGCTCAGCACAGTTCCCTGAGCCTTAGGAGCGATCCCAGACGTCTGCGCCCCGGGACACCTACGAGCCTACTCCAGCGCCTGCCACTCTTGTGCGCCGCGTCCGGCAGCTCAGCGAGCTCTCCAGGCGGCCTCACGACAGAGGTAAGCGGGGCTCGTAGCCAGCGCACGGGTCGCGCCAGCCTCGCCACCCTTAGGCTACAGATGTGCGTGGTTAGAAAGAGGCACTTCTTCAGGACCGCAAGGGAGAAAGGGAGACACATTTCTGATCAGCGGTGGCGGTGAAGTGAGGTTAGGAGAAGGTTAAGCGCTCCTGGGGACTTGCACCGTGTCAATCAGCAAACTGAAGAAGGGGACATTGGCACCGGGGCACTGGCTCTCAGCCCTGTGTGCGGGGCCCTGGTCTCGTGTGCACCGCTCTGTGTGTACGGTGCGGTCACCCGTGTCTGTGTGCGTGCCCACACGTGAGCCAGAGGGTAGCCGAGCGCCTTCCGTGCACACACCGCTTCTCTGCACCACAGGCGCGAGATACCAGCCCAAATCTGTAAATTTGTGACTAGGGTTGAGCGAGCACCTGTGTGTCCTGGATTAGCAGTGGACGCAACTTCTCACAGGTGTGGCCCAGGGAAGTGGGTGGCACGAATCCTCAAGGACACCAGGCACCAGAATCTTCCCTAGAGAAAGGTGCTTCTTTGGGAAGACCCAACAAAGTAAGGAGGAACTTCATTGCTCTTCCCGGGTATCTCTCCAGGATTATTATGATAGAGGTAGAGAGGAACCGGAGATAAAACCAGGAAGGGACCTCAACAGAGTCAAAACGCCTTCTACAAGCAGAACCCATTGGTTCCGATGGAGAAACCAACAGATCGATTTTTTTCCCCCTTCCCCTCTCTTCCTCCTTCTCTTTTTCACCGTTACTCTCTCCCTTTTCCAGTTTTTCCCCCTCCGGAGTGCAGCAGACACGAGGGCTGGCCCTATGTTAAGCCCACCTTCCCACCCCCCTCCCATTTCAAAACAAGGGCAAATGAATCACATTGTAAATGCTCACCGTGTAAGTCAGACAAGTTTGGGAGTTAAACAAATCGCGTTTGCACTGTGGGGCCTGGGGCATCCAAAGGAAAACAAACAAAACCAGACGAACAAAAGTTTGTTCCAAGTTCCGATTTCAAACGGGAATGTAAAATGGGTATTTGTTTATCGTAATGGGGATTTAAAAAAATTGTTTGAAAATTCGTATACACAGTTTGCCTCATCAGCATTCAGTGTGATTCACAGAAGCACTTCGGGAGATGGTTTCTGTTAGTGTTGCAAAAGCCCTTCTAATTTTTTGGTTGCCATGGTAACTGAAGAAGGCGCCCTGCACTTAGAGAGGCTGCCTGGCTGGAACCAGGAACTGTTCCTGGAGGGAACATATCCCCTCCCGTCGCCAAGGCAGTAACCGAATTCATAAAAAGATTAAGTTTATTTTCCTTAGTAGTTAAACTCTACGCCATGTTTCTGTGGCGTTTTTATTTTATTTTTAAAATTTACAGTTTGTGCAGCAGACGCTCCCTCTCAGCCTCTCAGACTAATAAGTAAACATTGCCCCAGGAAGTCAAAGGGCCACCATTCCGGAGGGCCCGCTCTCTTCCCACACTAACGGAGGACAGAGGAGCTGTTTTGATGGTCAAGGAATCCTGGCCTGGGACTGGGCTGTTCTCTCTATTTAGCGGCTTAGTTTGGAATTCTAATTAGCCTTCTAATTACGAGCTGGAGAATGTAGGTGGGGGGCCTGGCAGAGGCTACTGGGAAAAAAGCCGAGCCTCGTCCTCCACCGACTGGTGTTTGGTGGGCTGTTGGATGTGCTTGTGAAGCTCTCGGGCATTTATTTTTGGACTGACCACTATTAAGTGGTAAGCCTAGAAAAACTTTCAAGAAAGGCCTTTTTCTGTTAGGGAGAAATGTGGCTGGGATTTGGGGCTGAACTGTATGCTTTTCCTTATTTAAGCTGTATTTAAAATAAAGACAGGTTTGTATGAATCTAAATTTCCCAGTCATGATTACAAATAGGTTATAGAACTCTCTACGATCTCGCTTAGCTTTCGCTAAGGTTTTAGTTTAGGAGACTTGATTTGGGACAAACAGTGGTGCCACACTTCAGACTCTGCCATCAGCAAATGTTGGTGCCTTTAGGGAAAAAAATCAACAGCCGTCATTGCTCTCATTTCTAGACATCGCTCTCACACACTGGTAGTATATGAGTGAACATTTTGAAAGCTTCTAGCCACGGCATCAAAGCGGGAAACACCAAGATTTTTGTCTGAGTAAAGTCGTGTTTTCAGCCACATACAAAACTCCATTTGGGGGATTTTTGTTTGTTTGTTTGTTTTGTTTTTGTTTTTCGAGACAGGGTTTCTCTGTGGCTTTGGACCCTGTCCTGGAACTAGCTCTGTAGACCAGGCTGGTCTCGAACTCACAGAGATCCGCCTGCCTCTGCCTCCCGAGTGCTGGGATTAAAGGAGGCGTGCGCCACCATCGCCCGGCCCATTTGGGGAATCTTAAAAATTAAAATCGACTTAAATTCAACCGTATTTCTCTAGGGTTAAAGAATCTTCATTCATTGCCTGGTATTCTGGAAGCTGTTATAAATCTCAGAAGCAAACTTGGTCTTGATAGTCTACAGCTGGGATGAAGTCTACTGCAGTTCTTAAATGACTTCGATTAGCTCCAAAGTTAACTCAGCCCCTGCACTACAGAATACTGACCAGTTGTACAGGGGGCCAAGTAGCAGTTGAAGGACAAACGATTTCAGTTAGCCACCTGGACAATCAAAACAAAAGTATGTCACTTGGCGGGCTTATGAAGGTGGGTATCAGTCAAGCCTTAGAGGAAATGAGGGTGAGAAGGGGTTGAAGTAGGGTGGTGGACGAGCTTGGGACAGGAAGGAGAGGAGCTGCAAGGGAAGAATCTCAGGTGAGGAGAAAGCAGACCAGGACAAAGTGGACGGAGAATAACACTGAGGATAAAGGGGTCACATGGAAGGACCGCCAAGCAGCGTAAGCAGGATCTAAAAAGAATTCTCCTTTCATTCTCGGCTAGAGCACTGGTACTAAAAAAATGAAGATTTTTTTTTTCTAATTATGTGTTTATGTGTAGCAGGGGTGTGTGCATGTGAGTGCGCATGCCCAAAGGAGTCAGTTGCCCTGGAGACGTTGTGAGCCGCCTGATGTGGGTGCTAGGAACTGAACTCAGGTCCTCTGGAAAGTAGTATATGCTTTTAACCGCTGAGCCTGGTCTCCAGCCCCTGCTACTGACGACTTCCTTTTTTCTTTTTTTTAAAATTTTTTAAAAGATTTATTTATTTACTTATTTATTATGTAAACAACATTCTGCCTCCACGTATGCCCGCAAGCCAGAAGAGGGCACCAGATCTCATTACAGATGGTTGTGAGCCACTGTGGTTTCTGGGAATTGAACTCAGGAGCAGCCAGTGCTCTTAACCTCTGAGCCGTCTCCCCAGCCCCTACTGACACTTTCTAAGCAAAGACTAGGTACCGTAGTTAGCAAAAAAGAAGAACTGTGATTTAGAGAATCCCTGGAGGTCTGGAGTGCCCAAGGAAGGGCAGTGCATTCTGCTCCCAGTTATGTGATGTAGGAGGTTGCAGCTCTCTCTCCTCTGGGTCTGCTGAGCTAGATGCCTGCTAGACATTTCTGCCCAATCTTCAGGCCCCCAGGAAGCTTTCTACTTGTTATTTGTTAGAATCATTTCATTGAAAGAATTCATAGACACACTTTCATTATGTGATTACAACTTTATCTTTTTAATTTTCAAAATATTGTTTAAATTGTCATCAAAATAATATGTCCATTTAATTTTAACAACTTAAACCACATTTAAAGATTGTAATAATAATATTCATACTCCCCAAATATAATTTTTAGTAGTATTTAGCAGTTTGATCACTTGCCTTCCTATATCCAAGTAATCCTCTTTGTTGCTGGTTTGATTGAACAGTTTTAGACATAGCCTACTGAGTTACTTTTATTATGGGTAAGGAATTCATTCTCTTGCTCCACTCCTTCCAACTCACTTCCTCCAGTTTTTTTTTTTTCCAATATAGTTTGTAGATGAAGTTCAAGTACAGCCTCACTAGTAAACCCCTTTATCTGATAATGGCAGGCACTGGGGCCAGGGACACCGTTTCAGGCTTGACATGTAAGCCTGAAGACTTGTGTCCCAATCCCCAGAAGCTACGTAAAAGCCAGAACTGGTGGTGCACGTGTGTGCGTAACCCCAGCAGTCCTAAGGATGTGGAAGGCAGAGATTGGAGAATTCCCAGAAAGCTCTAGTTAATCTCAGTTAATCTACAATACACAGCACAATGGCAAAACAAAGAGACCCTGCCTCAAACAAGAGAACCAGTTCCTTTAGCAGGGCCCTGACTTCCACACATGCTCTGTGGCTCTCTCTCTCTCTCTCTCTCTCTCTCTCTTCATGAAAGCTTCTATCAGCATCTGGTGAAAGATAGCTAAATGTTTTCTAGGACATCAGCCTAAGTACCCGAGAAGCAGTTCTGTAGCCTTCAGATAGAGTTCAAGGATGGCTTGTAGAAAACAGAGGACCTGTTCTCACAGGTTACCAGCCATTGTTTGGATAACCTGGGTTTTATGTAGGGGAAGGGGAGAAAGAATTAGGGGCTAACATCAAGTTCTATGACAGTGGTTAGAAATAGCTGCAAGGAGCAAAGGTCTTGCCTGAACCTTAGTAGAGAAGTCTGTCCTTTAACGTCTCCCATACATTGTATCACAAGTAAATTAAATCCTATTGAGCATACATTGTGACGACTGAGCAATAGATGGTCACTGCCCATCCAAGTTGTAAACTATGATTCTATTTCTTTTAGTTTTTCCCCTCTCTCTGTTTTAGATGATTTTTGGAGAAAACTATGATTTTTTTCATTGCTTTAATTTTTAGGAACCTATTGCTATTTCTTGCCAAATAATTCTTTTAAAAAAAAATATTTATTTATTATGTATACAATATTCTGTCTGTGTGTATATCTGCAGGCCAGAAGAGGGCACCAGACACCATTACAGATGGTTGTGAGCCACCATGTGGTTGCCGGGAATTGAACTCAGGACCTTTGGAAGAGCAGGCAATGCTC